AGGATCGCGTCCAATGCGGATCGATAGTTAGTATGTTAAATTCCTTAACTACGATTTTCAAATGATGTACCGGCCATGTTTGCAAAACCAAGTTGTTTACCCGTGGGGCTAGAGGATGACAAGAATAGATTCAGAAAGGAAGTATTAGTTTCCAACCTAGGCTGCGACCTAACGGTGTTGACTAGCGAGGAATTACGAATGGAAAATGCCAACGACCCGTTACTATATCAACTCAGGGAGTATGTGTAACAGGGATCGTCTAAGAATAACCGAGTGCCCGGTGAGTTCATTTCGTATTACGCAATTCGAGATGAAGTGTCAGTGATAGATGGTTGTCTGATGCGTGGTTTGGTGTCTATATCTTCACGTCAGTTGGTAAACAAAATAATTGCTTGTACACATGAGGGACACTCAGGTATCGTTCAGATCGAAAACCGAGCGAAACACTACTTTTGGTGGCCACGAATCGCATCTAGTATTGAGACATTTGTGATAAACTGTAAACGCTTGCCGCCTAGCGGACAAAAGTTCTCTGCCGGTTGAAACCCTAATAAAGTCTATTACCTACCCGATGAAGCCGTGAAGCATGATCTCCATTGAAACTATGGCCCCTTTTGCCACCGCTCCTACGAATAAGAGAAGTCTACTTGTAGCTACATGCTTTTACAGTAAGTGGCCTGAAGTTCACATGTGCGATCAAGTGACTACTTCGGTCCCGTTACGCTGGCTTAAACACTTGTTCAGGACTACCGGAAGAAATAATCACGGACAACGGACCACAATGTCAAGCTGTTTGCCTGCGTAAGCCACCAGCCTCCTCGATCGACCGACACTTATCGACCACAGGTCACCGAGTCGAGGTCACTTTAGCGTTCACAATTCTATTACAACACATCAATTCTCGCCTCCGTTTCGCAGAGGCGATTGCAATTAACCGGATTAAGCCGCTGCTTTGTGTTCAGAAACAATTATCGGTCAGCATTAGACTGCCCTGGGGATAGGGGTGATAACCCTGTCTCGCTTATCGTGTGTTGGTCTGTTTGAATGTATGTTTGGTCACACCCTTCACTGAATAAATATTATTGTGTGATTGTTAAAGACACTGAGATAATACGAAATGCGTGCATTTGCCAGTCTTCGTGTTCTTACTGCGCTTTTCAAATTACTAGAGGGAACTAACTATTTCAAATAGCAACTTGCCAAGGTTCCTGAGCAAGATCAACCCCTATGCAGCCTGGAGAATACGTTCGCGTCAAAGAACGGGATACAGCTAAAGGCCTCCCAGCTCTATCCGCAATGTTGCGAATCACCCAGAGACTAGGTCCAGGGACCTATCGATTGGAAAACGGCCTAATTGATAACACACGTCAGTTGCACACGGCCCATGGAGTAGCTACCAAGTCTCAAGGTGTGTGAACACAAGGCCGAATCGCCGATCCCGCGGAGTCAGCCTCGCCGGTCTACCAGATTTTCGAAGGCTGTCGATCGATGCCAGCCCACGTGACGCGGAGCTTCAAAAGGAAGAGTGGTTGTTGTGGCCGATTCATCACCATGTCACTACACATGTTTCACTGGCTGGTTGAAACAGAGTAACTCTCTTCACATTGGCTGTATAACATCTGGACGGTTACAAGTGATTATTTTGTAGGTTGAGCCTGTTACCCCTCAAATGAGTACGGATACACATCCTGCTTTTTTCTGTTGCCTTCTTGATACAACACAAGCCCTTTCCAGTGACGCGTGAACACTGTTTTCTTCCTGGGGAAGCTAGTGGCCTGCGTGAGCATGGAGAGGGCAGGGATTCCGGTCATTTTCATGTGTGGTACCTATTCCATTATTCGGGGTCAAAGACTGATCAGTTCTATCTAGATAGCTGGCACCGTAGTTACACACGAATTGGTATATAAAGTGTGAGTTGACCCTGACTGAGCCTTCTACGTTGGAGGTACCGGCAAGTTACGAGTTCGGTTAATGACAACAATTTGAGCAGCACTATAACTACTCTGCGTAGCAATTAAGCATTTAGTGGCCTGTAGCACAGTAAAGTCACCCTTGAAAGCCAACTCGATATGGGCCTTTTTCTGGCTGTGTTTCACTTTAAATCTGCGAGGATAACCATTCGCCATGATTGATGTAGCAAGTAACTCTAGCTCATCGACCGGCTAATCAACCGAGCAAATTTGTCTAGCAGGACCAACTAACGATTTCCCAATGGTCCGCCTGTATCGCACTGGTGTGAAGCTGGTGAAGTGCAGGTATTAGCCGGACCATGTTGTTTTTCTATAGACAGACCTCTTAATGAATCTTTCATCCCGGCAACTAATAAGGACGTCCAAAAATGGCGAAAAGTTATTCGGGTCCACTTCACAAGTGGTCCGCAAGTTGGCTTGTGCGCTGTTAGACTGCTCCACCAAATGCATAATCTGCTGTCCCGACGAACTAAAGGCCAATATATCATCCAAATAACTCTTATAGTATGATATCTTTGCTAGTTTTGTAGATATACCTCCATCTCTCATCGGCATGAGGAAATTGTCGAGTACAGGGCCTAGTGGGCTACTTAATGCCACCCCATCGATCTGACGGTATGGTGTGTTCTGAAAGTGTAAGCCAACGTTTTCATTACACAAGAGCAATAATACTAGAAATTCAACTGGCATTGGTAACGAATAACAGTATTGTAGAGCGAGTTCGCATATGTAATCAACCGTGTAGTGAACAGGGATTAAATAGAAAACATGACCTTATCGGACAGGTTGACGTCATCCAATTCAGCTATAAGCTGAAATGAATCCTTAAGACTACGCGGATTGGACAGTTGCAGCAGCGGCGCAATGATTTTCATTAGTCAGCCGGCTTTCTTCATGATCAGCACTTCAGAGCCCTTTTCCGGGTTTATCACAAGTAAGTTCGCAGTACGTAGTACACGTAGAGCCTGAAGGTATCGGTTTGTAAGCGGGCAATTTTCACTTAATGGCATAGTCTTAACTTTGTGGGAGATATCAAGCAATTTGTTTTTAAACTAAGCAATACTATCTGGACTAGATGGTTGAAGCTTCTTAAATTAAACAAAAAGGTTCTCAGATTGAGCATCTATAAACAACCCGTACAGTCTTCTAGGGGAAACTTTGTAATCAAACCCCTAAGGCAATGACACTAGCTGCAACGCATCAAGTTGTACATGTGACAAATTCACCATGTAATTACTAGGATCACGAACAACTGGTATTTCTCCTTGGCTGGTTGTTAGCGAAATAAAAAAAACGAATATTTCGATTTCGTCCTGCACGGACGAGATTTGCATTAAAACAGTTAGCAAACATAATCAAACAAAACAAAGATAGACACTGAAGTAGTGGTAGTAGGGGTGCGTGAGTTTCCGGTAAACTCACACGTTTGAACTCGGCAGTCTCTAGGTGAGCGGATGCCACGCGTCGGAGATTAGCCACAGATGGTTACGTTTATTTCTACGCAACAATGCGAAAACTGATTGAGGTTGTCTATGCAGAATAACACATTGCGATAAAAAGGAGATTTCCACGCGTGCGCACGCAATCTTGCATTTCAGGCTGACTAGAGGATAAAGCAATATCACAGTTTCACCAGGAATTCGTCATTTGTTCCCTTTAGCAGTTGGAAAAGTGCAGAAATAAAATGGGCTCTACTCAGTGACCTGTGCTTCGCGACAGATCAATTAGATTATGTTACGTGACGGGGATCCTAAAGAACGCAGGTTGGTGTGCCAGCCGGAACTGAAGTCCCGTTCAAGGTTGTCAATCCTCTCTTAATGGGTAAATACTATTGCTTGTGCGAGTTCCCAAAAATTGACGAATATAGTTTCTAATATACCTACAATCCCAAAAAATGCACGTTGTCCGTGAGGATTCATATTTTTCCACTCAGTTTGTGGTAGTTTATACACAAATGTGTATAAGTCATGAGTGTAGGTGGTGAATATACAAGATTCGCACTGTCACTGTGTAGTTGCCCAGACTGGGACTGACGATGCATATGATGTGCTTTGTCGGTTTAGTCGGGCGAAACTCGACTGGCTAACTGTCAGACGTGCGCCTGACACATTAAACCTCCCGTGTGATATACTATGACTGGCTGCGTTTGATGTGAATCTGGGAAAGCTGCCTACCTGTCGAAAAACTGCAACTTCGATTATGCTAGCTCCAGGAGACAGTTGGTCGTTGCTTTTCTAGGCGAGTGCACGGTCTTCGGGACAGTGTTAGGATCAAAGAGTGGTTTCAAACATCAAATGTGGTGCGTGCTACAGCTCAGCCATCGCATTGTGTACGTCTGGCACACATGATTCCCCATACAGATAAACAGGAATGCCGCTGCTGTGCATGTGGAAGAAGTGTGGGCCGGCTAAGTTGATGAAACGTTGTTCCTATCCACTTGCCTCTCGGTCTTATTCCTTCGAGTTCACAGTGGATATGGGGTGTGTGGATGGAGCTAGGAGCGATGCAACGCAAGCCACTTATAGTTCCTCAATAGGCACAGGCGTCCAGTAAATGTCCTGTGGAGGCCAGTGTTAGGCAAATTCAGGAACGGATGCCGCCACCCATGAAAATGTGTAGAATCCCGGTGGCATCCTTTGTGCGAGTCGTAAGCTTGGCTTGTAAAGGTCAGCGTGCATCCTGCAGACAGCCGGTTTGACTTGCCTGACACAAACAGTCCACTTTCATCTGCATTCGCGTTCTTATGCAGTAGGTAGGGTTGCATTATATGTATACATATTCGATCATATTATATAAAACTATTCAGACAAATAAGATTTAATCCTACTTTGCAGCAAAATGTGGCGTGGGTTACAATAACTCAAGAAGTTAGGTTTGATTTTCAGCCGATCATAAAGACAGTGTTTCATATCCGGCTTCGCAAAGTAGGTCAGTTGAACGCTGTCGCATATGCCGAGGAATACAATTGATTAAGTCTAGCTGTCAAGAAGCATTTGTGAAGCAGCTTGTTATGCGTCAGAAGAGGTTTGGCAGCAATCGATTGGTGTATTAATTAGACAAGGTTTCGCTTTGACACAAAGCTTCATCAAATCAGGTTGCCCAACAATGGAGCTTACTATGATCAAACTCCATCTTTTACCCTAAAGACACAATTCAATTGCCAAAGATGAATTAGAGGAAACAGCTTTGTGACATGGTCATCTGGTGTAGGCCGCAGTCATATGGAGCTGAGTTTGTGACGGGGAGAATACGCTGTATGTCATAGTTTTACGGTCAAAAGGAATTTTAGCCTCATCCAAATTGAAAAGTAAATGTATGAAATAGTGTCAAAGGATGGTGTCGTTGTTCTGTCTGCTGATGAAGAGAATCCTTCTGCGCAGAACATAAATCCGTGACTCACTAGTGTCAGACACCAATTGAAATAACGCATCAAACAAAGACAAAAGCTGTGAACGAAGTCAGTTGGGAATAAGTGAACTGTAGCATAAGTGTTCACCTCATTGCTCTTGTAAACACAGTTCCTATGGAGCATGTCTGAGGCAATAAGATAAGTGACAACTAAGAGATAGTCAGGCATGTTCAGAAGGTCATAGCGAAGAACCGTGTAAACGAAGGAAGGACAATAACAATCTGGAGAATAGTTGTTCAAGCTATACAAGTAGGTCGGAGGTCGCGTGTGGACGTTTTACTGCCACAGATCACGAGGACAGTGATGAGGTGATATCGGGCACGGCGCCGCGTCTTATTAGTTCACAAAGGACGGCAGCAATATTGCGTGCGTCATCTGTCAAAAGGAGCAGCAGAAAAATGTGACGACGTTGTTGTTAGTTATTAATGTCATTTATGGCAACAACAAAATAGGTGCAATTAAGTATCATAACATGCAGATGACTGGAGAAGGACAAGAGAAAAGCGTTGGGAAGAATACCAAAAATGGAGCCAGAGAAAAACATATGCAAGGTGAAGTCAGCTGGTAGCAAGTTGGAACTGGGTAGCGATACAGTAATGGCATCGCATACCACCACATGTGTCGAAGCTTAGTAGACAAGGTTGTGATTAGCCAAGAAAAGATGGATGACGGCACAAGCTATGACCAATCATCCACAAATGTATGAAAGCATTGATGGTAAAAAAAGTCACGGAAAATGCAATCTTTCAAAATAAACTTAATAAGCACAACGGGTTCCGGAAGATGATAATAACAAAGTAAGAGCAAAGAACACACGATATAAACAATCGGGCGTGAGTATGCAGACAATCCTTTCAGATTTATAGCCTTAACGATAGTCACGCACCTGACACCTTTCAAAAAGAGCGGACATGATGTCCAGCAAGAATGAAGACACTTGATAATCGGACAAGAGAGTCCAAGGGAAGTACGGTCAAAACAAATCGGAAAAGATGCGTGTAGATGATCCATATTAGTCAACAAACTGATTACAAATTCCACTAAAGATCCTGCAGTCAAAATGAAGTCAACTCGCAAAGAACAAAGGTAGAAATACAGATAAGCATCAGCAGTACACAAATACGCTGCACCTAGCTTCGGTGCCAAGCGACGACTACATGAGGTTTGGAGCACAAAGATGCTTCATACCATTGACCACCAGTCGACTCGTAGGAAACATAATCCTCGAATTAATTTTTAGCCATTTTCAAACACTGATAATGGGTGTGGAAAATTATTGACATTTTAACAAATATGGTAGTGACGGCATCGAGTCTCCGGTGAATAGCAGTCGCGAGAATATTTTGGTAGAATGAAGTTGCTGTACTGGTTGTGTTCATTTGTGCACAGCTACTGTAGTAACAACCGGAGATGGGCATATTCGCGTCAACCAAAAAGATATATCCCCACTTCCTGTTCCAGGTTACGAAAGTGATGTTCTCTGCATCATAGTGGAAGTCTAGCGTTGCGTTTGAAAACGCTTCAGTTAAAATGGACTCGGTTGGCACTGTGGTGAGTGCCAGATATAGAGATGACAGTTTCTCTGTGAATGCTTGGAACGACAATGTCTGCGTTATTGTTGTGACATAACCAGCCGTCGATGCTTGGTGTAAGCTTGTTATCGTGGTAATAATTTAGTTAGCCGGAATGAACAGCCATTTTCGTCGTCAGTTTTACAATCGAGGTGGACTGGACGTAGAGCCGCCAAAACGGACTTCTCCGCATCAGACAGTGTACTGACCAAATGTCAGTGCTTTTACAAGCGTGCGATTGTTGTCTGAGTTTAGATGCGACGAATTTCTACCTATAAAAAGAATGCCGACTCCGTACAGGGCACCAGTGGAGCAGTGAATGAAAGTGAAGTAGATGACCAAAGCCGCGCAACGGCCTACCATTAGGCAATGGCTCACCGGGCTTAACACCAGGTTGTGTTGATTCGCATAATAATAATAATAATAATAATAATAATAATAATAACAACAGTATATCAGCCGTCTGAACGGATGCCTCCCTGTCATACAGCCATGATGCTCTATGGGAGAAAGAATAATGAGGGAGAGAAGGTGAACTTAACGGAAAACCTTAATGTCCTAAGCAAACATTGACAAAATACCGTTACAAACAGCTGGCTACCGTGTAAAAATAAGGCGACATCAAGTAGAAAGCTTCCTTTCGGCTTTCACTGTCCGTTGCCATAAACAATCATTACCCCGCAGATAACTCAGCACCAAACGCACTTCAAACAGGCAGTTTGACTAGACGGCAGCAGATACTCCACTGGTGTCGACTGCGAGCCTTGTCCTGTATCGAGCTAAGCAAAAGGCGGGTCGCATACACGCTTCATGCGAATGCTCTTACAAACTGAAAATAACTTCGTTTTGTTTGCTGGATCTGTGACAGCGCACATCTTAAAATGATGAACACTAAGTAATTAGCCTGTAGTGAAGTCACTGAACAGAACAGGGGTTTGGTCCATCTTGCATTCCAGGCTGGGTCCGCTTTGCGCTCGGCTGGAGCCCTCACAGAACACGGTTCGCAGCCAGACTACCAGTTTGTCGTATGTAAACCGTGTTATCCGTGGAACAAGGCTGATTACGCTGAAGAGAAGGCTGTGAGGAAGGTAGTTCGTTGATAACACCTTATTATCATACGGTAGACGGCTGTTCTTGACCATGTAAAGTTGGCATGAAGTAGCCACGAGCCAGGAATGTTGTTTGACGTATTAAGGAAAGAAAAGCCATAGTTAAGTCTTGATGCACTACTGTTTCTCTTGACGTTTAAAGAAGATACGAATTTGTAATCACCAAATCAAATTATGTGTTAATTATTCAGGAGCACATTGGTCAAAATTTCTAGCTGTGGACCGATAATAGTCAGAGTGAAGCGCAGTGCAACTTGGTGATGACGGACTTGATGCTGTCTCGTCTCCGCTTCAGATATTTCAAGCAATGGACTTTCCGGCTTCCGTGTCCGCCTATCCGACGAATTGCTCCAGCTAAGACCAATAACGGTAACAAGTGCAGTTGTTATCTGATGAATCAGTTTTCGCGGCTGCAGAGAGCCGTGAGTGTTACTTGCGCACAATTACAAGCCTTTGCATCAACACAGAGCCAACGTACTATGCGCTCAACGGAACAGAAATGGGAGATGTGTTAAACGAATGAATGACTGCTCCGCATCTAATAGACATGGAGCACCAACAGATATGTGAGCTCACATGGCGGCGACTGTACATCTGCGATAATACTCAGAGAGGGCAGATGCAGCGGAAGCCAAGAATACATCCGTGAAGTTGGTGAGCAGCCGACTAGGTGGAAGTGACATTTGCAACCCACTCATCGCTGTATACTTTGGAACGTTGACATACCAAATGTTGAGGAGACGGTTGTGGAGTCACGGTGCATCCCAACGATTGGCAACATCCTGAAACCCGTATTCGTAATACGGTAAGTGATGGGTAAGCACACAGCCAGCGCGAACACTGGATGCATCCTAACGTGACATGTAATGTTGGGATGACTCCTTCGTACACAGTGTACATATGTGCAGACATGTGAAATTTATTTCTGAATTTTATGCACAAATATACACTTACTCTCATTTATCCAAATGACAGTCAAGGGTTAAATTTTTTCACAAACTACGCTAAGAGATCTGATGCCTCACAATTAGCCTAGACAATAAATTTTTGGATCAAGATTCTATGTCTGTGTACGAAAGAGATACATCTTGAACTTCCGCCAACACCATCAGCCCCTACCATGCGACTTAATTGAATCAATGAGGCATGATATGTTGACGTCGGGACGGACACTCCGACCGGGCGACAATATGAACCAGTCAGCACCTCAGTGAAAACTATACATGTATCCGTATAGGTCACGCGTCCGCTGGTCTTAAGGTGTATGTACTCAGAAACATTTTCCTTCCTGGATTTCTCCCTGTTAAGTAGCGCCGGTTTAAGAGAAATCTGATGTATACTACAAAGATCAGAAGAACTGTTGATAAACGACAAACATATTGAGTACAGAGGGAGTCCCATTTCAAGCACATGAAGGAAGTGATGAAGTGATGATTGCAGAAAACAGTGCGCTGATGAATACGAAAATGTTGGTACAAAAGTGAGAAGCCACACAAATGGGATCACATTATGCAAATAGTAGCTACTTCAGTGAAAAGGTGTGCCAAAGCAACCTTAGCTCGAAATTCAGTGCCGTTCTGAGTTTTATCAAGTGCTCGAGAAAACTGAACAGTGGAATTGGGTTCGCGCTAAGAGGACAAGAAAACAGGTAGGTAACATAAACACAGCGTTCATCACACGAAAAATACCAGAAATAAAAGCGTAGGGGTACATGAAGTGGGTAGCGTGACCGGGTCTCATGTGACGCCAGTGCCTCTCATCAACGAACCGGTGAGGATCAAGAAGGAGCGAAGATTAGAGTACTAGCCCCACCACTAATAGAGTAAAGCGTGCGCAGCACTAGAGTAGCAAAAACAGTACCGAAAGAAAGAGGTGACGAAAGACTGACCTATTCCACTGTGGAGCCGCCCTCGATGTGGTAATCTCAGAGTGGACATCATGTGGTACAAGCTGACTGGAAACATCCCCATCACCTCGGTAAAGACCTGTCAGCGACGGGTGAAGAATTGAGGTATATGAGAATGAATAGTATCACAAGGAATGAGTAGCGTGAGCAAAAACAGGAAAAAGACAGAAAGAAATCATATACAAACGCTGAATAGATGATCGAATTTGGTGTATTAAAAAGCCTATTTTGATAACGAAATCATAGTCTCCCCTGAACTTCCTACTGCAGCCCGTGTGTAGCGCTCACTAAGACTCTCAGCTTAACAAAAAAGGTGGTAAACTTGGACTTGTCATTGTTTCCGAGCGGCCAGGCGTAGTGGTATTCTCTGAGACGCAGTGTAATTATGAGGTGGTCGCCCGGGGAGATAAAGTTTAGTGGCTACTTGTGCTTCGACGACGAATGGCCATCAACTGAATGCGATGGCGTCCTGATCTACAGCCGGTCTTTTCTGTATGGGAGACTTACGAGCGCCTATCAAAGCAACGATGGCTAATGTGAGTAGTCGCGGTGCTCGACCGATCTCAGGCGAGAGAAGGTACAAGTGGGTGCATTTTATCGCAGTCCCCCGAGTTGTGGTTCAGATTGGATGCCTCATCTTCGAAGCGACATGAGTTGACCGTAATTTTTATTCATGGGTGATACAATTGTCCCCCAGTACGTTGATCTGAAAAATTCTAACAGGGCATTGCAAGGATCAAGCAAAGCTCATGGAATTGCTATTTGAAAGTGGAGCGAAGCAATACTTTCGCCAAGGGAAATGTATAGCACCGTGCTCAACTCCGTCCTGCCTAGACTTGATGTTAATGAACAACAGGTGCTTGACACTGGGATGCTGGAGACCATGGCAACAATCCATTACACGATGCTCGTAGCCGACAAGGAACTGCTTTTATTGTATTCCCGTCCTATGGAGGCAGATAACGACCACTGGAAAACTGACTTCGACGATCCAACTCGAGCCGCGAGCCAAATGGATTGGCCACTGTCGCAAGCTGTACCTGTGGCAGACTGCTGGACTTTCACAAAGGGGGAAGTGACATTTCTGTGTTCCTGGCTGTGTCAGTGCAGTATCAGAACGCTGGACCAATTAGGCCACATCGGTTCGACGAGTTTCGTAAAATAAACTCATCGGATACGAAGACTGGGAGACAAGTTCCACCACCATAGTTCAGCCAACGACTACGAAGCGTATAAGAGAAAGCGAAATGTTTGCAACGGTGCGAAAACAAGCAAGTGTTGGCATTTTGACGACCAGGTAGCAACCGCCGCAAAGACAGCCCTGAAAAGAATATTTACGTATGTGAAGCAACGCCGAAATCAAGCAAGTGTCTACCAGTGCTAGAGGTCCCGCACGGACAGACCAAAACCAGCACTGACGTGCATCCATATGATCGGCGCACTTCACTTCCGTTTTCTTTGATAAGCTGGTATCTTCACCGAGTTAGACGTGTGCCGCATTTACCACACTCAACAGTCTGGATTGCGGTGTTTAGGAGGTGGGTAAACTAGTCACCAACCTTGATAACACCCGCAGGGCACGACGGGCTCCACCCACTGATTCTCTAGTACCTATCGGCATCAGGTCGCTGTCCGAAGGTTCAGTGCCGGACGACTGGAAATGCTCAGTTGTAAAGGGGATTCCAAAAGGTGGTGACCCCAGCAAAGTGGAGAACTACAAGCTGATTTGTATGATACCTATTTTGGCCAAGGAAACCGATAAGAAAGTGGACCAGCAAAAGATCCACTGACGCCCGTACAACGCAATTTCATGTTAGACCGTTCATTCGTTACCAACCTGATTGTGACTAGGTACGAATGGTTGTAGCCAGAGAACCATGGGAAGTCTGTCGACGGAATCTACATGGATCTCAGCAAAGCATTCGATAAGTTGAACACTGAGGTCCTCCGACACAAGTTGAGAGTGGGCGGTGTTGGTGGCTCACTGCACTAGTGGGTTCGTTAGTTCCTCGTTGGACGAAAGTGGAGAGTAGTCAACAACCACCTAACTGACTGGTATCCCCACTATCAGCGGAATACACCATGGCGCAGTGTTGGGACCCACTCTGTTCCTAATCCACTCTAACAACCTACCCCAGCTTCTTTGATCGCCGTATGCCCTGTTTGCAGCCTATATCGGTAAGATCTTAATCGCCTATCCACGTGGTTTGCAGACGTTGGTGCTCAAGAGCCTGGAGAAGGGGTGCTGGTCGACAAACCTAAACCCTCGATGGCGAAATGCTACATCCCAAAGCCTTCAAATTTGTCGTGCTCTATAATACCTAGCCAAAGGACTTACAAATATCCAAGCTTTTCGGCACTGAATCAAAAAGCTTGTGTTTTGATTTATCAATGTTTTGTTCTGTAACCATGGACCGGATCGTTTACACTCGCGACAGTTTGAAAGTGTTGCGCGCTTTCCCGCAAATGAACTCGGTAGTTTTTTCCTGACCAAGCTGTACCAAACAACATAAAAGGGAATCAAAGAGACAAAGGGATTCTACACAAAAGCACTGTGCACGATGGCGGGTTGCGCTTAGAATGAAACATATCGAAAGTATGAGTCTACCTGTTTTATTCAGTGATAATGTTCGATCGCTACTTGGAAAATTAGAAGACAAAAGTATTATAAAAGGTCGGGAATATTCTCATTTGGGCATCTTTATGATGCAGGAAACGTGGCTTCACATTGATATTGAAGATGTAGTCGTGGAACTAGACGCATTTGACTCTTTATGTGTTGATCGCCAAAGTAGACAGAGGAACCGCGGAGGTGGCGTCATTTACATAAACTCTTCATGGTTCCAGTCGATTAAAAGCATTTTTCAATACAGTTCGCAAGCATCAGCCGTTTAACCGAAATGTAAACCATGACTGCAGAACGGTTATCGTTCGATTTTATTGGAGAATGTTTATATCTCTTCCGGCTGTCCGAACCACGAAGCTGAAGCATTTTACGACGGATTTACAGACGTGCTCCTCGAATACTTGGAACTCTCATTGTGCATAGTTGCCGGTGACTTTAACAGATCTGACACCAGCTTCATTGCGAGACTCGGGCTAACGAACATTGTACAATCTCCAACCAGGTTAGATGCAATAGTTGACATGCTATTTGCTAACAACCTGAAAGTAGCTTGCTGTTTGTAATTGGACACCGCTTGGGAGTTGTAATCACACCATCGTAAAACTATCTCCCATTATCTATAGCAAGATGAACCATAAAGAGTTCACCCGTTGCAAAGATCGAAAGTTCAGACGGAGACAATGCCTTTCTAGAACATACAGCGACTGCGTGAAACAATTGCTTCCACTGATGTTAGTTTATTTTAAGATGCGGACGTATCGAAGTATTATGACCAGTTAACTAGTTACTTAAACTTTGCTTCGGCACCTGTTGTCCAACTGAAATAATTTTTATCCGTGCCGACAGATTCTCCTCTCAACATCTCAAACGACTGACTGTGTAGACAAAGAGGTTACAACAGTTAAGTCTGTCCATTGCTATAAAAATCGAATTGTGTCTACTCAACGATATCTACATTCAAGCCATACTTGGAAATAATAATTATTGTGAAAGATGGAAAATGTTTAAACAGTAAAGGGGGGGGTCATTCGCAAGGTCGTGCATTCAACTTCTGATTTGGAAAAATCAAAGCTCTATTTTTGTGACAAGGACAGTATTTCATCTATTGACATATCCTCTGCTGGGTTAGTTAGCCTCGGATAACCCTCCTTCTGTGAACAGGCTAGAAGTACACAGAGAATTAATCGGGCTGCAGATGAACAAGGCAGCTGGTCCGGATAAGTTGTCTACTGTGGTTCTCAAGGAGTGTGCAGATTACTTGGCGGAACCCCTCGTCGACTTGTACATGTTATGCTTCAAGTAGCATAAGATAGCTGCCATTTGGCGAAGCGCAAGCATCACGCTAGTGCCAAAGAAAGGAGGCTGTAAATATCGGCCGATCGCATGCATATCAGTAACTCTTAAGACATTTGAGAGGCCCATTCCTGGGAGGATCTCAGCACAGAGCCATTTGAATGATCCACATCAGTTTGCATATTGCAGCTCAATGTCCAATTTAGATGCGGCAGCATGTTTGGTACATACCATGCTCTCGCCACTGGATAATAAAAGCAAACCCATCCACATGTGCTTCCTGGATTTTAGCAACGCTTTCAGTTGTGTGAACCGTGAACTACTGCTGCGCGATCTATTAGGTTCCGGAGTACAAACCTGTTGTTCTTCTGTTGAAAAATTATTTTACCAGCCGTACCCAATTTAGCAGGTTAAAAGGGAAAAATCTTTTTCAAGCACCAGGAACTCGAGTGTTCTTCAAGGTGCCACTTTGTTCTCATTCTTGTTTTCCACTTATTTCAATCTCCGTCCCTGAAGAAGCCATCCAGTTGATGTATGCGGACGATGCAATCCTTGATGTCCATCATCCAAGCATAGAGTAATCGTCCAAGCTACAAACCCTTTTGGACAACCTCACAGCTTGGTCTAAATCCCGTTGTCTACCGTTAAACACAAAATGTAAGGATATCCTTTTCTCGGTATTCCAAGGAAATCGTTACCAGCAATTCCTGACACAGTGTCCACAACTTTGCATTGACGGTGAATGTTTGACCTTTAGCACTTCCGTAAAATACCTGGGAGTGAAGCTGAGCAGTGAGCTTACGTGGTCGCTTCAAGTGAACGAAACAATCGCTACGATTAGAAGACTCTCATTCTATGTTACACGTCTCAGGTCTTCTTTCGTACCCCGATTTTTGATCCAGCATTTTTTCATTACATGTGTATTACGCTACTGGACCTATTGTTCTCCAGTTATCTTTTATGGTCTCCTGAGGAAGGACATTAAACTAATTACCAGATCAGTGAAGTATTTATCCCGGTGTAGTGGCATTTCAAGACTGGAACTGATTATCATCATTGTAGCCAGCCATATCAATTCCTGTAAAATAGTATGCATGTAAAATAGTCACAGATGTTAGCTATCCCATCCACAGAGCTTTGTCCATATGCTTATCAATCTCCTCCTCGAAAAAACGGGTCAACAAAACCATATACCCGTACACAAGGGTCTATGGTACATCTGTAACTCATTTCCTGTCATGTTTTTTTCAACGATAAAAATTCACTCATTCAAGAACTGGTTAATAAATTACCCTAGCGGTGTTTGATTTGCCAAATCTTCTTTTAACAATTTTGGTTTCATATTTATCGGCATGTACTATCCCTTTCCATTATTTATCCCATTCCGTGGCATGGGTGTTAGAACTGAATATTCACAATTCAAGGGTGCGTAAAGCACATTCTTGACTTGACTTGACTTCGACGAGAGACCTAGGTGTATTCTCATGTGGCGGTTCAAAGTTCGTGGATAACACGAGCAGGCTAAATCGTAACGCACTGCGCATGCTATGGGCGCTCAAACACAACTTCTGTACACAGTATGAAGAGGTCGTCACTTGCCTCTTCAACCGTAAGACTAATGACCACCCTCCTAATCTCTGATGGCTCTAGACGAGGCACAGAAGAGTGAACGGGTCCAATAGGTCGCTACCAGGCTCATCCCGAGCCTATGCGGATTGCCGTATGAAGTGCGGGAGACACTAGGTTCCCACACCTCATCCTATTCTCGGGTGCGAGTCCATCTCATCCTGACATACCGCACCTTACAGGTTGATGACTTCAAGGTGTAGTGGCTGCTGCTCCAATTGTAGACGCCATGCAATGAACGCCAAAACTGCTACAAGCTTGTTTTGCCGGAGATGAAGTTAGTTCCTAAACACAGCGCTTCGGATAAAGAGTGGGAAATGTTTGGAACAAGTTGTAGAGACCAAACATATGCAGCGCTTCAAAATTGCTAGACTTAAATGTAATCGACATTCCATTCAGGTAACGATGGCTAGCTGACAACGGTATGTTACATTCGTGAGTCCTGTGACACAGTAAGTCAGACTTCTAAATGTTACAGAAAAATGATTAGAGTATCAACAAGTGACAGATACATTTAATGACACATTTGATCGTATTTCGGTGGAACAAAAATAAAAAGAACTAGAGGTTTACCGAAACTAGGATGGTAACGTAAACCAGGGAATAACATAAAGTAACGATTCTTGCGTAGAGGAAGAAAACTGAAGACCAGTGTTGAAGATAGCGAGTAGCTGTATGCCAAATACAACGACGTGAGGCACTACATCTCTGGGCATCAATAAACTCTGTAGGCGAAGCATCCATTAATCACTCGTAAATCATAAGCGCAGTCAACAGTGGGTGTGACACAGCATAAGCAGGAAGATCAATTTGTCATACTTGAACGGTGACAGGCGTGGTGGCTGTAGAGGTATTCACTTTGACATTTAAGATGGCAATTTAAAACTGGTAGGGTACGGATGAATAGGGTAAAATGCCCAAGCAGCGGTGAAAAAAGAGCTAGGGTAACGCAATTACCAGTTTCAGGTTAATCCACCGCCTGAAATAGCTTGGCACCGGGATTCTGAGGTTATCGCATTGAGAAGGTAACCTAGAAAAGGGAGAAACGCAAAAGTCATGAGACATTTCGGCATACACTTATAACGGAAGGAGGGTGAATGTGAAAAGGACTATTTTATCCCGAGTAAAAATTAGATCTTAGCAAGATACAATTACGCACAACAAGTGAAGGCAGCAATCAGATGAAGATAGTTAACTGTATCTGACTACCCCAAGCATGCGCAGTCAGTTTCGGTGTCGCCCATCGGACTACAAGTCGCAACGTAAGAGTACATCTGAGTCGTTCATGGAAGATGTAAAATGAAGCGGTCGGCCGTGAAGCGTGTAGGTTCGGCCGTCACCACGCTTCCCAAAGCTTATAAATCCCGTATGGAATATGTTAACCGGGGGACAATTTCCTGCAGATCACAAGTGAAATAAGTTAAGGTTTGGTCGAAGTAGGCCGCAGTCGTCCGAAGTGCTACTCACCTTCCACATCTTCTAGTTGTCAACAAACAGAGCACACGGCGACGGAAGAAGCTGAGGTAGATCGTTGATATAAAACAAACAATGTACGTCCCTGTGCCGTACTTTTGGGTATGCCCTTGGTCAAAAAGTGCCAGTCAAAAGTACCAGTAAGTAATCTGAAGAAACTGAATCAAAAGCAACTGAATCGAAGAATAAAGGTATAAGATTCACAGGAAGAAAACGAGACTCGGCGTAGATAATAGTCGGGGTTTCAAAACAGCCCTCCCTGCGAAGGTGGAACCCAGATGTGGAAGATAACGTGGGGCAGTAAGCGGGTGAAGACAGAGATCATAGAAATGAGCCGAAAGTGTTCGGGGTGTAATGGATTAGGAATCTCGGAAAGGAAAGCGTAAGGGAAAGGAAAGGGTAATCCGGGCAACATTCAAGTGAGGTGGGTAGGGGGGAATATGCAAGAAAACAGTTTGAGAGAAAAATGACGAAAATGGAAGTAGTCCTAGTTACCGGTTTCAGAGTAATGCGATTGACACCGGGGCAGCTCCTCCCAAAAGCCGAAGAGCAGAAAGTATTTCCCTAAAGGTGTCTAGTTGAGACAGAAGATCCGACCAGAAATCAGGAAACCCCGGAATCTGTTTGTCCTCAAGCGTTTTGCAATTCTACATGCAAAAGTGGTTGCGTCACGTCGATGAAAGTGGTATAAACTTCGAAAATATACAAACCACAATCAGTGAAACTTGCGGTTATTCAATGTACGTTTAGGGGCAGAATGGCGACTTGAAAAACTACAAGTCTGTTGAAAGATGAGGATACAAGCCGAACCTAGTAGGCTATTCTACACTCCGTACCCTAAAGGAAGCACTTTAACGGATCCAGCAAAGACGAGACACAAGCGTCTAGCGGAATAGCAGACGAACTTAGCAGCTTATGCGACTCGGTTGAAGCTTTAACAACAGTAGAATAAACGGTCAACATCATGCTCTCGCAAGGAACTACCGTCAGGAGTGCGGTCAGAGTCCTGATTTGGAGAACTAGTAAAAGGTTCGTAAGACGCTGAACATGGGTAAAGGGACGTTGATGGAAGCTGAAAATGCTCACGAGGGTTAGCAGTGGAGGGTTTGTCCCCACAGCCATGCGAGAAAAGCTGGAGAGTATGGAGAGTTAGAGTGTCGGCAAGGGTGTTGCCTGCGAACTCCACAGGCGGTTGATGGAAGTGAAATTGGACGCAATGAGAGATGATGTTCGTTGATGGATATCGCTCACCGACGGCCGTGAAGCAAGTTGCCTGGTAGTGTTGTACGCGTTTTCTCAGCATGTCACAAAATTGCGTAGGAAGATTGAGCACATATAGAAGAATTAATAAAAGAGCAGAATATACCAGCGTCTTCGACATAGCCAATAAAGTCTTTTCTTTTAAGATGGATCAACGACATAAATAAAGTGCAAGTCGAGCTAAACAATTTGCGTTGTGCTGGACGGGATGAGGGAGGCAACGTTGTTAAGTAAGACTACGTTTGGAAAGGGAGAGTCTTCTGAAAACGTCAGTTCTCCCAGATAAGTCAGTGCTTTTCAGGGAACCTACCCACCAGCCTTAGATACTAAGGGTGCAAGGGAATCTGGACTAGTAGCTCTAAAACGATTGAGCGATGTGATCTCGTGTGGGACCAAGCCTCCGATGGAGTTACAAAACTAATCAGCCAAGGCTCAGTCTGCAGTATCTGAGTAGGGAGTTCGCGAAAACTAAAATGCTTTCGAATGCGCCCTGCCAAACGAACCAGACGGCACTCGTTAGTGTGAATTGTCGGATGGGTGCTGTCTTTGATTGTCTCCCTGCCGCTCAAGTTCTTTAAACCAGTAGCGTGGATCAGGCGGAAGGGCCTGCAGTGATTGGCTGTGGCTCAAGCCTCCTCCATTTCTTAGGCCCTATTGACTCACCAGGCTTTCGTTTCAGCGCGCGGGATCCGTTTCAACTCACTCCTAATTTTACGTCTGGTCACATTGTGTTCGAAGCCAGCAGGGGATCTTTCTTCTGGATTCCAACAGGTTCACAGACCTATTGGAGATCCAGTGGCTGGTGAGATGATGACTGTTAGTGCCGCAAAAAGAGGCTCCAGCACTGCGCATGGCGGCAATTAGGCGAAAGCCCGGTATGAAGAGCGTCCTGATAGTTTTGTCTGAATGAGGGATGAGATAACGCCAAAGTTGTCAGTCGAGAGAATGTTCTGATAGACTTTGCGGCATAATTCATGGAAAGACGGCAGCGAACCAGGGTATGATCAGAGTATACGCAAGCGCTCCAGAAAGAGCGATAGTCCAGGATGGAGCCGCGCCATCGGACATTTGCGGCAATGTGATCCATTTGAGCCCATCACTCGTCAGCTTTAGGGTGATACCAAGGGACCGATTGGCGTCCACTATGCTTAAAAAGCCATTCTATTAAGAAACAGCCGATGGTCTGCGCACAGCCGCAACAGAAGCTCGCAAATGTTCGTGCGTCTAGAGCTGAGTTCAAAGGTACAACTTACTTGAGTTTCTGAGTAGTCCAGACAGCGAGGTTGCGCACACATATCCCCTGCAACTGGAGCGACCCGAACTGACAGCATTGCGAAGTAATGTGTTGAGTTCGTCGGAAAAAGCATCTGGTAGCTTCAGGTCCGAAGTCAGTGGAAGCACAGGCGGCCATGGCGAATAGACAGCGTCTGGCGATACTTCGTGCGGTAAACCTGATTAATGTTGTCAACCGGGCTGTAAACAGACGGCCGTTAACGAGCGCACCCCAATGTCCCACAGTGACATTAGATGCAGCTACACAGAGAGACCACTTCTTGCAACCTCCAACCAGAAATCAGTAATCAATCAATCAATCATCAACATTACCATCATCACGACCTACGGAACGAAGAATAATAAGAGAAAAGGGGACATACGGGAAACAATAGTCTAAGCAAACCTTCAGCGTCAAGAGCCTACACCTTGTCAACAATATACCGTCACAAACAGCTGGCTATCGTGCAAATGAGCCATCGGTGAGACAGCTTCCTTGTGGCTTTCACTGCCCCGCGTCATAGCCGTTCATTGCCAAGCATATAACGCGGCGCCCGACTTTAAACAGGCAGTTTGATTAGATATGGCAGCAGACAAGCCACCATGTAATCCGAGGGCCTACATAGGGACAGTCGACCCTTGCAGTATCCATAGCCTACACGCGACTGTTGGTCGCTGCGCGACAGCGAAGCGCCGGTACCGCGTATCTGCATATTGCTGATGTATTACTGAATTTCCATGCAAGCCCGTTAATGCTAGTGCTGTTGCAGAGATGGGTGGACTGACCAACTTTGTTTGAGGTGTGTTGCAGCTCATGCGAGCTCAGATTTCGTGCAAATGAGTCGATGTATACTGGAGCGTGGATGTTTAAGCTTCGCTACAAAAGAGCATTCATCATGAATTATGTGCTAACTATTAAAGGGATTGTAAATCTAAAGGTGAAACTTAGTGCAAGCGGTGCAACCTACACTCTCACTCACTGAAGGACATAAAAACCAGTGGCAAACGTTAAATGATACCAACACAAATGCTCACATGGATTTTAAGTCCCAATCACCGCAAGTGACGAAGGCGAACAAGCTTCCATCCGTTTTCAAATTCTCCTTCATTAAGTAGTTATCAAATAGCTACGAATAGAATACAAAATCTGAAACTGGATGATTGTCGACAATGAGCAAGATATAAGCGAATGGCTAGAAGGACACACACACAACATGCGAACACCCCAATCAACAAAATGCATTAGAACTTGACGAAATTCCATGATTAATTTTGGTGGTCAAGAATGCTGAAGTAAACTTCGAATGCATTAAGTTTGTCAATGTCTTTCAGAACTTTTCCAACTCCCCGGGAAAAGGAAAAAATAAAAGACAAATATTATATATATATATATATATATATATATATATATATATGCGTTGAGGCTTGTGGTTGCTAGATCTTGACAAATAGATGACCCGCTGTACCCACTGTTGTGCCGTGGGCTCACGTCGTGAACGCCTCCTCGTGGCGAGTGCTGAGTGGCAGATAGGTTACACACTTCTTCAAGCTAAGAGCCATGACACAATTCAGCGTCAGTCGGCTCACTGACTCATTGAGCATGGCCCGCTGCGTTTCAGAAGTACATTTTGGCTGAGGACCCGAGTCGTTCGCCCGTCAGGTGTGAACGCCCAGGTAGTAAAGCAGCAGAAATCCAAACCATGAAATATACCAATACTGTTAATACCATGCTGCATCGGCCGTCGCCCAGTGTTGGGGGAACAAAAACCGTCGCCTTATCTGCTGTATACGGCGGGGTGGATAAGGCAAAACATACTACCGATGACGTCTACCTTTGTCCTTTTTCGCGTATAGTCCCCATTTTAACTAATCCACTACTTCCTCTAATCCAGGTTACCATAAGAACGATTACCCGGCGCGATTGTTTGCATCCGCGTAAAGCGCTCGACGTCGGGCGCTGGAACGCGTGCACACTACTAGACCGAAAAACGAGTGAGCACACCGAGGGAAGTGCTGCACTAGTAACGATGGAACTCGCGCGTTACGGCATCGATAATGCCGCAATGAATGGAACTCGCCATGTGGACTAAGGCAAGCTGCACGGTATGGTGACAGTTGCATAAGCCGATGCGCAAAAAACGCCACAAAGCACCATGTGAACATGGCGTCGGATACGCACTAGCTACCTGCCTAAATGGTCAATTGGTGGGAGAGCTCACTGGCATCAGTCAGCGACTGATGACTTGGAGAAGGCAAATTGCCATTTTTATTAGCGTTTATGGCCTCATCATGTTATCCCGAAGACACAAGGGATCAGTATCAGACTCAGTCACCCTCCGTGATACGATCAGTGTCGAGGAGAGACCGGCTATCCCTATTGGGTGATTTCATCGCGCGCGTTAGGCGTAATGCAGCAGCGTGGACAGACGTCCTGTCCGTATGGCTCAGCCAACGGGAACCGTGACCGGCTGCTCTCACTGTGCGCCATCTACGGCCTGACGATCACTAACAATCGGTTTGCACTGGAAGCGAGTAGTATAAGTACGCGAAAGTACTCACGGAGTGGCCAAGCTCGCTTGGTTGACTATATCCTCGAACGCCAGCGTGACACGCGTAAAGTGCGCATGACACGTGTACTGCGTAGAGCTGAGTGCAGCACTGATCACAAGTTAATGAGGACCAAATTGCACACATATATTCGTAAATATGACTATCGCTCAAGTGTTATGAATCGGCGCAAATTTAATGTTTGTTCGCTAGGTACCCTGGATAAGCGGATGGAGCTGGAAAAGGCGATGGCTATTCGTCTTGGCAATATCAACTGCATCGCATCAGTCAGCGACCTGTGTTGCAACATCCACGAACACATGTCATTAACTTACTTAAAGACAAAGCTTCCGTGTCATCTCAAAATGTGAATGTCATGTGTTATTGATGTGGAAGTTCTCATCACAAAGTGGACTGCCAAACACGTACGGCTTGCACAGCAGATTGAAAAAATTGTGGTAAACGGGGCCACTTCGCCTGATTTTGTCGCTCTCGCCGGGTAGCCTTACTTGACCACCAAAGAACTGATGATCCTTCTTTACCAATAAAGAAAAAAATTACGACCAAAAAGTTACCTTAGGCAGAAAATCGACAATCCATTTTTAATGGACCCGAAGCTCCCATCCGCTGACATTTGCACAGTTACGCTTCATCGGCGCCACACCAAGGTACCAGTTAATATGGAACCGAATTCGGCATCGCCCATAACAATTATTCCATCTAGCCATTACAACAATTACTTACATGATATAGCAATGCATCCATAGTACAAATTTGACTCATACACAAATGCACGTGTCCAGAATTGCAGAGGATAGTGGCTAGCCTCACTCTGCACATTTCTTAACTTGAATGGCAGTGGAAGATGAGCCGTGCTATATAATAGCCAATTGTGCATCACGCAGGTCCGCGGCTGTCCCCCATGGCGAAATGGCACTAGCTGCTGGCGTCCAGACGTCATGGGGGCGAAAAATGGCAGAATTCCGCTGGATGGCGAACCACTGACGAGACCCAGAAGGTCGAAATGCCGGTGCCTGGTGCTGTTCCAGACTAGCCTAAGCCTGCTGATTAAGTGACTACAAGGAATGAGCTGAATTTTACTGAAATACCCACTACTCATCAGTAATATAAAAATCCGTCCGTATAGTATTAATAGCATTGTGCCGTGCCGGCGCTACGCGGAAAGTACTAGCTCGTGAGGCTAGCCACTGTCCTCTGCACAATTCGGAACTTGCCTAGCAGTGGAAGATGAGGCGGGCTAAATCATAGCCAGCTGTCAAGCACGCAGGTCCGCGACTGTTACCTATGGCGAAGTGGCACTAGCTGCTGGCATCCAGAAGTCCTGAAGGCGGAATCCGGCAGGGGTCCGCTGGAAGGCGCACCACTGATGAGACCCAGAATGTTGAAATGCCGGCGTCTGGTGTTTTTCCAGATTAGATCAAGCCTGCTGATTGAGAGCGACCATGGTGGATTAGTTGAATTTCACTAAGCAAAGCATTGTGCAAAGCATTTGTGACTTTCATAGGATCGACAAGAAAGCGTGACAAATAAAGCACGATTGTGTTACGATACGAAGTGCGAGAGCATTATGTAGTGGATAAGAGCGGTCACTTAGAAAAATTCATGCAAGCGTCAAAATTCTTACGGGTAATAAAATCAACTATGGAATCTCTAAACAAGCCACCACATCTGGGGATATGTTTAATCGATCGCACAATCAAAACATAGACCTTTTACAGTAGTCCAGGGAAGACTACTGGGGCGCAGTACAACCAGTGGGGTAGTATACATGCAGTTATAAATCTCAAAATTAAGCTTCCCGATACGGAGAACTTCTTAAGTCGGAAAGCATAAAAAGATAACCTTGTAAAAGATCTCCAACACGTACATGCACCAAAAGAGGTTTTGTGAAAAAGACCGAGATATTTGACAGTGGATGAAATAGGAATGGTTTTGTCCTCCAAAGTTAATAGAAGAGAGGCATCTAAAATTACTCGCAATTTATCGGGGCGAAGAAAGGAAAATGTTACATCAGTACATTTCGAAGCATTAAAGTTAAGGGACCTGGTTGAGGGCCAACTCACAAGTTCGTCTAAACTACACTGAAGCGTAGACGTCTCAATGGAGGGTGATCTGCACCCTGAGACAACATCATCAGCATATTCTTATCCAATGTATGTTAATGGTATGGGGAGAATTTCGACATATAAAGAGAATAAAAGGGTGAGAGGATCGGACCCTGCAAAACACCACAGCCAGCGCAGAGCATAGACGGGCTCTTGTCATCTAACTGAGTAAAGTGCATGCGATCAGTGAAATAGTCACGCAACAAGTTACAAACATCAGGGTGGACTCCGTTCAAATAACCTAGGTTAAGCAGAACTGAACAGTAAAAGACTCCCGAAGACATTTGGATAGTCAAGAAAAAGAAATTGTACGGCCCTGCACTTTTTATCCAGCGCAGAGGCTATCGAATGCACAAGGGACGAGACAGCATCAAGCGTGGAGCGTTGGGGTTTGAACGCAAACTGGTAGGCATCATCAGCACGAGTGAGTGTGGAAATCCGTGGAACGTAGTTTTTCGAGGACTTTTAATAGCACGGAAGTACAAGCAATAGGCCGATACTTGTGAGGATATTACATCTGGGAGATTACCCCATGTTGAGACCGCTGCTTCATCTGCGCACACCAAGCAGCACACGAGGACACCGGTACAAGCTTGTCGTACCGGATTTGAAGCGGGTCGCTCACCAACTCTGTTTCGAACGCAGAGTGGTGAATGTATGGAACGACCTGCCGCAGCACGTAGTTGAGGCAAAGTCGGTTTCGGAATTTAAGAAGTTCCTGGACAAACACTTTGCGGACGCAAAATATATTGAGCGCAACACAACACAAGGGGTCTTCGTCCCTGACTGACATTAGATGCAGCTACACAGAGCAAACTCTACTTACTGCTTCCAATCAGTAATCAGGAATTCGCGTTATTCTGACTGACCTCCAGATGTCGGAGATGGCACCGGCCGGGAGACAGTTGCTTAAAATATCAGTCATTGGTAATGTAAGGGGACCGGCGTTCTGCATCACAATCACGGATGATAAGCCATCAGAGACACAAGCTTTGTTTGTAGTTATCTTTTTGAGTCCTCTGTTGACGTCAACTTGATCAAATAAGGCGGCTGGGTATGAGCTAGTGAAGGTAGGTAATGCAAAAGCGCTCCACGGAAAGGAAGTCAACTCAGAACTGAGTTTGTCAACACCTACGATTTCAGTACATCCGATAGTACTTTTACCACAGAAGTTTATGTAACTCGTGAGACGATCGCACCGAAGCGATAAATCGTCATCTGTAAAAATTGAAAGATCTGTTAACACTAGAAAGACCGCTCCGCCGTTATACCTAGAACGCCGGGGACCGGTCAAAATGACCGCACTGCTATATTTTTTTATCCCAACTTTCAGTTAAGAATTTTTTCACGGCATTTATTAAAAACTAATGTATAGAACATACTTGTAGCAGAAAAATGATTGTATTAAGGTTTAGATATTTTCAAAAATTGTAAACAATTCCGTATACCTACTC